TTTTTACATTTTTATATTATATTTAATTAATATATAATTATTAATAAATTATATTTTTTTATAGTATGTTGTATATTTTATATATAATATATGCATGCTTCCCTCTAAGTCCAAAAAAAAAAACACCAGCTTTACTGTTTTTGTGTGCGTTATCAGCAACCACTATATAGCTTGGAAATCAGTAGGGATGGTGATTTGGCCCGACCCGGTGGGGAACCCGGTTCACCCGACCTGGACGGGGATTCCCCGCTAAAACGGGTACCGGGGCCGAGGCGGGGGATCCCCGGTAGAGGCAAACCGGGGTTGGGGCCGGGGCTGGGTATTGTATCCCCCGACCCGCCCCGTACCCGGTATATATATAAATATTAAACATTTTAATTATTTGGGCTTATAATTAATATGTGCAGCATGTTGGACTTATGGACTTGGGGCTTGTAATTGATATGTCCAATTGTCCATCGACTCCATCTCTAACTCTTCTACTCGTCTCGTCCAGTCTCCACTCTCCAGCGTCGACCCTCGTGACTTCGAATTCGTCTACTCTTCTTCGACTTCGAGACTTCTACACCGTCGACCCTCGTGACCTCCACACTCCACAGACCCTCACTGTGATAACTGGGTCCACGTAATCACTCAAGGTATATATTATGTGAATTAATTGTTTATGTGGATACGTGTTTACGTAAATTTAAGATATGAGTATGTGTATTTTTATGCATAGGGATATATGCATAATGTAAATATATATATATATATATATATATGTGTGTGTGTGTGTGCATGAAGTATGTATGTGTTCATGAGGTGGAATGTGTAGGTGCATGAGGTGGATGTGTAGGATGCATGAGGTGGGAAGTGTAGAATGCATGAGAAGGTGTAGCCAATTTATTTTTCTTTTTTTTTAATTTTGGAGAGTATATAAAGGAGGTGAAGCCCCTCCCTCTCCTACTTTTTCTTCTTCTGTTTATTTTTTTTTCTTTGAGAAAGAAGTTGAGTGTTTTAAAAAGAAGAATTAATCAGATTTCAAAAGGGTTGATTTCAAGTGTTTTGGTTTCAAAAGGCTTGTTAAGGTGAGTGATTTCTAAACCTTTTTGGCATAAAAATTTATACTGGTTTTTAGTTGAATGTTATTTATTATTTGAATCAAAAACCATATATTGTGTTTAAAGTTTTATCCGGACAAAGAGTGATCGGATTAGTGTTAAACCGGACAAGAGTGACCGGATTAGTGTTAAGTCGGACAAAGGGTGAATAACGTGTTRTCCGGATTGTTTTAAATCGGACAAAGGGTGGACAGAGTGTTGTCCGAACTTGTTATCCGGACAAAGATGATTTTATGTCTAAGTGTTTAATCGTTCAAGCTTTATGCGAGGTATTGACCGAATTTGTTATCCAGACAAATAAGTTAGAGTTTATTTTAAGTATAAATCGGACAAGAGGGATAAGTTGTCCGGACTTATATCCGGATAACTTGTCTGGATAATTTCATGTTTGAAAATTTTATAAGTTTTATTTATTTATTTATATAATTTTAATGTTTATTTATTTATGATTTATAAAATAGTTATTTTATGTCTTTTCAAATAAAATGAAAATGTTTCTACCAAGCGTGGTGACGTAAGTCTGTTTTGGTATGAAACTATATTTTGGGAAACCTTTCTACCAAGCGTGGTGACGTAAGTCTGTTTTGGTATGGAAGTGAGTTTTAAATGGTAGTTCCCCCAGACGTGGTGACTTTTGTCTG